GGCTGTGGTGCGGCCCGTGGCCCCCGGAAGGGGCCCGGCCGGTACGCGGAGGGGGCGTTACTTGTTACAGCCGCGGGAGGCAGGGACCCCAGTGCTGCGCTGGGGTCTGATGGCTCAGGGGAGCCGCGGTGGGCTGCCGATGTGACAATCCCTACCCGAGTAGGGAGGGCATGTGCTTGCAGCGTCGCTTTTGGATGTGTAATTTCCTGCCTGTGGCAGCGTTGCTTATGTTAATCACACACAGAACGCAGAACAAGGTTTTTCCTAACCTGTCATTTCCTATTCTTAGCTTAAAAAACCCCACTGTAATATATTTTGGGCACAGCAGTTTCCCGTTGTTATTCTGGTCCTCCCCACTACACGAGTTGGAGTAAGGGTTAAAGGCTTTTGCACTTTAATCTTTATAATGTGCCAGGTGTTCCCAGGGTGACTGTGGCTTTGTTGGAGAGCAAAAAGATTACACAGCCTATCTGTTGTCTTCTTATAGTCCACAGAAGCTTTGGAATTCATGAAACGGGACCTGGCCGAGTTCACTCAAGTAGTGCAGCATGACACAGCCTGCACTATCGCTGCTACGGCCAGTGTGGTCAAGGACAAGCTGGCAGTGAGTATAGGAGTGAGAGAGCTGGGATTTGTGTTCAGAAAGCGAAGTGGGGGGTGAGTAGGATGTACCTGTCTCCGAGGACAAACCACGACTGTAACCATGAGCATCAGGTTTCAGACTTTCTCCCTGGGGCAGGTTTGGTGCTGAGCACTGTGTGGGATTTCCTTGCTTGTAGTGGTTCCTGTGCTTTGCCTCTGCCGGCGTGCTCTCTGGGTGGGACACTGGCAGCGTCACTGTCGTGTGACACCGGATCTCCACACAAGCTGTCAGCCTTAACCCCGCACAGCTGCTGCTGTGACAGTCCAGCCCCCAAACCAGCAGGTCCCTGAACCTGGCTGTGTCCTTCCCTGCAAAGCCTAGACTCAGTTCTTCACAAACCTATTACAAGGCCTACCTGCCCCATTACCACCTGAGGCTAGTGCTGGCCACCCCACCCTTCTTCTAGCCCAGCCCTGGCCACACAATCCCCTCATTAGCTCTTTGTAGGCAGAGGCATCCTGCTTCCTTAAAGGAACCGATCCAGAAAAGAGACTTGTCCTGCTGCTGCTGGCACTGTTACTTACCCTGTGCTGCTTTTTCTCTTCAAGAGGTCAGAAGGTTCATCAGGTGCAACTGAAAAAGTGAGGAAAGGACTTTCTGACTTCCTGGGTGTCATCTCGGACACATTTGCTCCCTCGCCGGATAAGACCATTGACTGCGATGTCATAACGCTGATGGCAACACCCACAGGTACCACAGAGCCCTATGACAGCGCCAAGGTGAGTGCCCTGTTCCCAGAGCTTCCCTCCGGGATGTGGGATCCCGAGCCCTGTCCTCTGGGGGCTCTGCTGCTGCTGCCCCTCCACTGACAGCTCTGCCCTGTGTGTTTTCTCCTCCAGGCTCGCCTCTACAGCCTTCAGTCAGACCCAGCCACCTACTGCAACGAACCTGATGGTACGGGGGGTGCTCAGTGGTGCTGCTGAGCCAAGCTGGCCCTTGCCTGGGGTCTGTGGGTTGTCCTGAATTGCCCAGAGCCTTTTGCCAGCGGGTCTGCTGGCTGCCTATAGATGGGATCACCATTTATGAAGAGCAAATCAGTCTGTTGCCTCGGGGACTGACTTAGACTGAGAATTTGCTGGGCCAGTTCAAACCGCCACTGCGGCTTGTGCTACTTGGCCTTGTGCTGGCAGAGGACCCATGACGTGGGGTGGGCTCAGAGACCCACCTCTCCCTCCTCCTTTGCCCCTTGCTCACCCCCGCTGGCCTAGTCTGTAGTATCTTTTTGATTAAACTTCACAAAACTGTTCCTGCCCTGTTTGCGTTGAGGACTGTTATCTCTCTGCTTGTCCTGTACAGGTCCTGCTGAGCTCCTTGAGACCTGGCTCTCTCAGTTTAACCTAGAGGAGAAGAAAGGGGAGATCGCAGAGCTGCTGGCAACCAGCCCTTCCATCCGGGCTCTCTACTCCAAAATGGTAAGGCCCTGCCTGGCTCCTGTAGTGGGCAACTGTTGACTTGGGGTATGGTGCAGGGAAGCCCTGAGCTGCTTGGACCCTGCAGTTGGTGGTAGAAAGGACTGTGGTTGCATGGTAAGCTGGCACAGGGATATTTGGCAGCATATTTTATTCTTCCCTGCTTGCTTGCCACTGGCCAGGAACAGAAGATCCTCTGTGTCTACCTGATGTGTGTCTGAGCATCTGCCAGTGCAGGCTTGGTCGCAAGTGCACCTGAAAATGCAGGTTATGGAGGGGAACAAGGCAGCAACCACAGCCCTCCCTGTGACGTGACTCATCGTGTTTCCCCTGTCGCTTCCAGGTCCCAGTGGCTGTTTCTCATTCTGAATTCTGGCAACGCTACTTCTATAAAGTGCATCGCCTGGAGCAGGTAGGTCAGGAGGTGGGTGTCTCCCCCAGTGGGTGGGCACTCCAGGCAAGGAGCTCGCTAACACACACCAAAAAGGCAGAAGATACTTTTTTTTTGAAAAGCAGGGATCTAGGCTGCCTTGTCTGTGTCCTTGTCACTGATGCTGAAATGCTGGGGGGGAAGAAAGGCACTGGGGACGTGAGTGGTGGCTGATGCTGGATTCCCTGTAGGATGAAGCCCGGAGGGAGGCTCTGAAGCAGCGCGCGGAGCAGAGCATTCACCAAGAGGAGCCAGGCTGGGAGGAGGATGAAGGTGGGTTGGATGGTTGGGGCTCTGCGGGAGGGCTGGTGCAGACCTTGGCAGGTCTCGGTTAGAGAGGGTGGTGCCTCCTCCTCGCTCCCATAGACTGAGCTCCCAGCCCAGCTGCAGCCAACCCCTGCTGCACTGTCAGCTGCTGCTGCGCTTGCTGAAACATCTCTCGCTTCTCTTCTGCCTTCCTACAGAGGAGTTCTTGGGGATGTCACCCCTGCCTTGTGCAAACGTGAAATTTCCAGAAGCAGCAGAGAAAGAATCTGCCCCCGCAGCCCTGGAGGGAAGCTACCCCACTGCTCACAAGGGACCCTCAGAGGAAAGCTGGGCCGTTCTCCCCCCGGAGCTGGCCCCAGCAGAGGGGAGCCCCTCTGAGAGCAGTGAGAGCATCTCCCTTGTGACTCAGATTGCAAACCCTGCCTCTGTGCCTGCTGCGCAGCTACAGACTGGAGCACAACCAGCTGGGACCGGAGACCTCTCCCAGAGGCTGCTGGAGGCCACCTCGGAAGAGCAGAGCTCCCTGCCAAAGCCCCCAGAACCTGGTCACCTTTCTGCACCCGCCTGCAAGTCTGCAGCATCCTCAGAGCAGCCGGCTGTTACAGAGCTCAAAGAGGTGGAGAGCAAAGCCCAGGGCAGGACAGAGACTCTGAAAGAGGAAGGACCAACAGATCTACGAGTCTTCGAGCTGAACTCGGATAGTGGGAAATCCACTCCCTCCAACAATGGCAAGAAAGGTGCGTATGTAGGTCCAGCACAGGGCCTGAAACCTTCTGCTGGGGGTGGCAGCTTTTGGGGCAAGGGCTCTGTTTTTCTGATGATGGGGAGGAGAAAAGAGATTTTGCCAAAATCACCCACGAAGGTTAGATCCAAAGATTGTCTAATGGGCAAAACTGAAGTGGAAGCAAATCTTTATGCTATTGGGCAAGGTCAAGCAGGTCACATCCGATGGTGACAGTGTGCTCTGAGCAGGTGGCTGGGCCAGTGCTGCGGCTGGCTCTGGCCTGAGCCCTCTCCTGAGCCCCCTTCCTGTGCTCCCTCAGGACAATTGGAGGGTGAGAGTCCTCCAGGACGCTGTGACTAGGGGATGGCACAGCTCTGGCTGATGCTGCTGGCAAGCCTTTCCTTGCAGGGCATTCTGCCTTCAGCAGAGCCTGCTGCAGGTCTCCCAGAATAATGATTATGTCAGTTATAGTATTATAAAGCCACTGGAAGCAGCCCGAGCTCCAGCAAGGTGGCTGAGTATCATCAACTGGGTCTGGGAGCAGAGTCAAGTTAGACAAGAAGTCAGAAGTCTGCTGGCTGCGCAGAGCTGGCCTTCGGTCCCTGGTCTGCTGGGCGCTGGGGCAAGGCTGCGGGCTGTGTAGGGAGTGTGGTGTGACCTTCCCTCTCCTTGTCACCACTAGTGCTGCTCCTCTGCCTCAGGAGGTGGTTCCTTCTGTTGGGGCCTAAGACAGTCCCCGTATCTAAGTTGCTCCTGTTATTCCTTATCTGTTGTGTTTCGATGTGACTGTAGTGTGACACACCCGAGTTCTCCCAGGCTGGAGGAGGATGTTCACCTCTCCCACTTGTTCTGAACCAGCCCTTGTTGCGAGGGAGGTGCAGTTCAGTCCATCATGTCTCTATTAGCGAGCTGGCAGCCTGCTCCTGGGAATGAGGGAGGCTTTCTCACCTCGGGCAGGCTGCTGTAGAGCTGAGCCTCGTGAATACCAGGGGCTTTGTGGGTCTGCTTGGCCAGCTGCATGCTTTGGCTGGCGTGTCTGGTGAGCGCACGGGGCTCCGATGGCTCAGTCGTGGCGTCTGTGGTTACAGGCTCCAGCACAGATATCAGCGAGGACTGGGAAAAGGACTTTGATTTGGACATGACTGAAGAGGAGGTGCAGCTGGCGCTCTCGAAGGTGGAAGTGTCTGGGGAGGTGAGTCGAGGGGACTTGTTCCCTCAAATTCTTCCCAGAAACCATCAGCAATGCCTTGGGGTGCTGCTGCTTGAGCTCAGCCGTTGGCGAGAGCAGTTTTTACAGTTTGAGGGCAGATCCCTCTGAGCTCTGTGTCCAGCCCCAGTGCTGGAGCCAAGGCTGTGCTGCCCGCTGCAGCGGGATGAGGCTGCTGCTGGCCTGGAAGGGCAGCGCTGCAGCAGGCAGCTGCCTGCCTGGAGCCGCTCACAGGAGGCTTCTTGAAGGCGTGACTCGCTCTTTGAGGAGGGCACGGAGCCTGGGATCTCGCTGTGGGAGTCCTGGGTGGTAGCTGGAGCAGAGAGTGGCTGCCTGGATGTGCTTAAAGAGGGATGAGTGTGCAAGTTCTCCGAGGGAACAGAGCAAATCCCTGTTGTGAGGGTGTGGGAGAGGGAGGATACGTCAGGCTGTGCTGTCTCAGGTGCCCTGGTCAGGAGGATCTATTGACAAGTGGCTGTAGAGCTACAGAAACAAACTGAGGGATGTTCCTCTTGTTTCCAGCTGGAAGATGAAGAGTGGGAAGACTGGGAATAAAGCGACTGCTTCCAGTGTGTGTCACAGGCTCATTTCCACCATCGAATGTGAATTAAATCACGGACCGGCTGTTCCTTTGTGTTTAACTGTGCTGGGGATTGCAGTTCCAGGCTGGAGGAGTTTTCATTCCTGCTAAATCCTGTGGGCAACTCATGTGACCCCTTCAGACCTGGAGGAGGAGGAAGCAGGAGTTCACTCGTACACTTAGCTGCTAGGAGCCCATCTTAGTAGGTCCTAGAGACTGGCTGAGCCAAAACTGACTGCCCAAAAGCGTCGGGTAGGGGCAGATGTGATGCAGTGAGGGGTCCCCGGGGAGAGCTGGGCACTCGGACACCTGGCAGGATTGCTTGGTGCCACCAGACTGCCAACTGGCTGATTGTTTGCTTGTGTGTGTGTGTAGTCTACAGGCAGTTCAGAGGCTCTTGGGTGTGAGTTCTGCCTCGCTTGCTGCTCTGTGCTGCTGGCCAGGCTGTCCCTGGAGGAACCCCCGTGCAGGGAGTGGCCAGGGGCTGGAGGTGCTGCAGTAGAAGCTCCTTCTGCTGTGCCACTCCTTGCTGCAAAGAAAAGGCAGTGGGCTTGCGGTTTGACCTGAAGCCTGGGCAGTGCTGGAAGGAGCCAAACTCCCTGCCAAACCCTGAGCTTCTGCCTGGCTTTTTGTCTTGGAGGCTTCTTCTAATGGAAACTCCCATTTTCTGCTGCAAGAGCAGCAGCTCCTCCAAGAGCCAAGGCCTGCTGCTCCTCCCTTTGCAGCCGCACTTCCTTCCTCTCCTGGGTTTTGTGTACTTCTAGTTAAATTCTCCAAGCAAAGTACCTGTGGCTTGCTCTTACTTGAGCCCCTCGGGGCAGGCAGTGATTTGGGGTCCTCCTGGGAGCAGAACCCCTCCCTTGTGGTGCCCAGTTCAGCCCTTGCAGAGCCCCAGTCTGGCCCACTGACCACTTTAACCTCCACCTGGGCACCGAGGCTCAGCCTTTCCCTCTCCCAGCCTGGGGGGAGGCAGAAGCACCGAGGCGCGGGTGGTGCCTGTTGGCTGAGGCTGTGTCTGTCTCCTCCTCCTCCTCCTCTCGTGTCCCACCCGTGCCAGGCCTCACGGCCCCCGTGGTCACCGGCTTTGCTGCACTCGCTCGGGCTCCTTCACTTAAGCCCCCCGGGACTGCTTGCAACGCTTCCTTCGGACCCATGGCCTCTCCTGGGGGCAGTTCCCTTCTAATGACCCAAGACGCTCCTCGGCGGACGTTGCTAATACGCGGCTCTGACGGGACAGAGCCCTCGCTGCTGCCCCGGCCTTTCGGGTGGTGGGTTTATATGTGCTACCTTTGTCCTCCTGCCCCTTCCAGAGCTGCTTTGTTGGAGCTGTGAGTTTCCTTCTGGTTTGGGATAGCGTTAACCTAGGTGCACTTCTTGGAAGAGTTGGGATTTTGTTGGTTTATTTTTATTTTTTCCCCTTTGAGGAGATTCTCGAAGGCAGCTGCCCGCATAGACGCATTGGTGGCGGCGGTGACTTCAGGCACTTACCCCAGAGCACGTTTGTCCTGTGAAACCCACAGAGGTCAGGGACTGAGCTACAACTCTCCTCCCGCTCCATGTACAGGCCCAGCAACGTGCTGCGGCCTCACCCTGTCCTGAGCTCAAATTTAGCTGTAGCGGGAAAACCCGTTGTGGGTTGGTGACACCAGTGGGGGTGTCAGGGTGGGGGGCTCGGGGCTGTGTTCCCTCGGGGTTTGATGGGGTGAGTCCTGGCTGGAGAGCTCTCATCTGTGTCACTTTTTTTTTTTTTTTTT